GCCCCCAACCCCAGAAAATGTGGATGACCCACTGTATTTCTAATATCTGCTCATGAAATAGCAAGTGACCTAAAATCACCTGAAAAGACATCTGAAGCACTGAGCTCTGTGGCTCATAGATCACACTTTCAGCCGTGACACCAGACTTGTGCCAAGTCTGCTGATCCAAAGGCAGGTCAGACCAGGTGCAAAGCTGCTCTCTCTTCCCTTGGCACAGCAAGCGGGCATCTTATTGTCATTGCTCTGTGCTGAAGATGTAAATGGTCAACTGTTTCATCCTTGCGTGTGCGGACAAATGATTCCAGTACTTTTCTCCCCACTGCGGGAGGAAACAAACATTCCCCTGCTGTATTCTCCCCATATTCAAATGTCCCAAAGTGCTGCAGAAGAATTATTCTACATAAAATAGAATGTGGATTTGTTTTCCCTCTTCCCAAACCTGCTGGTTTTCTGCACTAAAAAAAAAAATCTGTTGTCTGCACACACAAAAACTGTGCAGGAAAACTTTTGTTCTGTGCAAAAATGGGATTTTTCTCCTCTCCAGGCCAAATGTATCTAGCACTTTCAACTACTCCTTATAGGAGGCAGCAATTTTTTGCTTCCACCATCGTAGCAAGTTTAGCACGTGGCAACAGATGCACAAAAATATGAATGAATCAGAGAGGGAGGTTTTTACTGATTAGTAGTTGCATACTTTCAAGTCACTTCCAACTTATGGCAACCCAAAGGCAAACCTATCATGGGCTTTTTTTTCTCGCCAAGATTTGTTCAGAGAGGGTTTGTCACCACTTTCCTCTGAGGCTGAGAGAGTGCCCAAGATCACCCAGTGGATTCCCATGACCAAGCAAGGATTTGAACCCTGGTTTCCCAGAATCCTGGTCTAACACTACACCATGCTTCTCTCATTTTTATTGGTAGGTCTCCTTTGTGTTGTGTTCCTTCAAGTTATTTCTGACTTATCACAACCCTAAGATGAACTTAAATCTTCCTTGGAAAGATGGTGAGACCTAAAGCTTCCCTCTTTTGTTGTTGTTGTTATTGGTTGTTGTTGTTGGTGGTGGTGGTTGTTATGTGTGCTTTCAAGTCATTTCCGACTTATGGTGACCCTATCACAGGGTTTTCTTGGCCAGATTTGTTGAGAGGAGGTTTACCATTGCCTTCCCCTGAGGCTGAAAGACTCTGACTCACCCAAGGTCACCCGGTGGGTTTTATGGGTGAGCTGGGATTCGAACCCTGGCCTCTAGAGTCATAGGCCAACACTCAAACCACCGCCTCACACTGGCTCTTACTGAACTAAAATTGCAAGCTTACCCACAACATCATTTCAACAGCTTTAAGCTCCTGCACTTAAGTTAGATGAGTTCCTCTACAATACAGGTGTCCAAATGCCATGTCAGAAGGTGTAGCGCAAGGAAAGTGTATGGCATAAGCCACATCTATTGTAAATGCAAACCAGTGAACCGCCATCACTGTGGAACTGCTTGCATCATCTTCTTTTCTGATTCCTGTTGTTGCTGTGCTTGTCCTTTCTGGCAGAAGGGAACGATTTTCTCCTTCTCGCAAGAAGGACAGGCGCCCCGTGTGCTGATTGTCACATCCAATTGAATTTATTTCCAGAAGAGAGCAGCCAGGGAGTGCCAAATCTGTCACTGCTAACAGCATGTCCAAATTGGGCTCTCGCATTGGAAGGAAACGGAGCTGATTCTGTCTTGTGTCAAATCATTAGTCCATCTAAGCTCGGCATTCTCTACACCAGGAGTAGAAATATCGAAGGCCACATGCAATCCCAAGGTTGATTTCTTGGTCCTTCAAGACACCAGCCAGACAATGATTAACCCAAGAGAAAAAACACTGGTGAGAAAAGAACACACTAAACCTTTTTCAATCTGTCATGGGCTTTTCTTGGCAAGTTTCTTCAGAAGTGGTTCGCCATCAAGTGTTTCCAACTAATGGCAAAGCTAAGGCAAACCTATCATGGTCTTCTCTTGGCATGTTTCTTGGCAAGTTTCCTCAATGAAAAATTATTTGTTCTGATTGTTCTGTGCTTTCAAGTTGTTTCCAACTTATGGCATCCCTACTATGAACCTGTCATGGGCTTTTCTTGGCATGTTTCTTCAGAGATCATTTGCCATCAGGTGTTTCCAACTTATGGCGAACCCAATGCAAACCTACGTATCATGGGCTTTTCATGGCAAGTGGGGTTCAATGGGGGTCTCCATTGCCATCCTCTGAAGCTGAGAGGGTGTGACTTGCCCAAGGTCTTGCCTAGTGGGTCTCCATGACTGAACTGGTCTCCAGAGTCCTAGTCCAACCATCAAACCACTATGCTGCCACACTGTCTCCACAAAAGGTATTTATTACCATACAGTAGTGAGCAAATGGAAATTTTAAATGAGGAAAGACAGTAGGGTTTGACATGAGGAGATTCTATGCTGTCTAAAATCCCACTTGGTATAAATTGCAAAGAGGGAAGAAAGAGAGAATGCTGAAATTTTCCAACAATACCCTCATGAAGAACGTGTCAGACATCGTCCAGACTGCTCAGACCAGAACCAGGACTTGGGAAGCATATCATCCAAACAGGACAATGCCAGAACTGGAGAAAAAATGGACTTTTTGGTCCATGCAGACAAGGCCTCCATTAATTAAGTTTCTCTTTCCCTTTTTCAACCTGCTCAAATCTTTTCACAACTTAAACAGGCAAATTACCTCTAACTGACAGCACTACAATAAAAGCACTTTATGCTCTCAAATTCAGTCTTTTTTGCAAAGTTTGAAGGCAAAGCCTTGTTTCCAGAATTGCTTCAGTCAAGCACAGTCAACCTTTCCTTGGAACACAAAGGCTTTCAGAAGGAGCTGGCATTCTCATTTCCCATCCTCTTTGCCTGCTGCTGTCACTTGCAAATTGACATAACAAGAAGTGTACCCACTTGCACAAAAGCTATTTAGGGAGCGGCTTTGTACCCATCCTAAATGGGTTCCACCTAGAGCTGAGCTGGAACGACTTTCCCTCATTTCATCTTGGAAAGCACCTATTTTCTGTACTCACAGCAAACTTACATTGCATTGTTTCAGACAGTGTTTGTCATCAAATGTGCACCCTTCTCTTTCTTCTTTGCTCTTGTGGTACCCGGCTTTGTTTGAGTAAAATCTAGTTTAATCCCATTAGCCCATGTAATTTTGTCAATTATGTTATAATATAATAGCAACAACTTAACAGTTATATACTGCAGGAGGAACCGTGAGAGCCAGCATGGTGTCGAGTGTTGAAGTAGGACTCTGATCTACATTTGAATTCCTGGTCAGCCATGGAAACCCACTCAGTGACTTTGGGCAAGTCACACTCTCTCAGCTTCTGAGGAAGGCAATGCAGAGCTCCTCTGAAGAAATCTTACCAAGAACCCAAAGAGAGGGTGGTCAAAAGCCAAAGTCAAGTTGAAAGTATGGAAGGCATGGAAGGAGGAGAATCGACGACCAACCCATGAAATAATAAGACCACACGAAGAACTTAAGATAAAATATGGGCCACCTTATTTATTTATTTAAATAGTCGATCCTTGGTCTCCACTTGGGTTTGGTTCCAAAATCCACAGATGCTCAATCCCATTAAATACATTAAACACAGTGGTGTAGTAAATCATACCCCTTAGATAAAATGGTAAAATCAAGGTTTGCTTTTTGGAATATATGAGTATTTTCAAACCATGGAAAAAATATATATAAATTCCAAAAGGCAAACCTTGATTTTGCTGTTTTATATAAGGGACACCATTTCATTATGCTATTGTATATCATGGGACTTGAGCATCCATGGATTTTGTTATCTACAGGGAGTCCTGGAACCAAACCCCAATGGATACCAAGGGCCCACTGTACAGTCTTTCAGAAGTCTAGAGCTTAAACCAAACATTATTTATTTGCATGCAGATGTTTCATTAACTAGTGCATGAACAAACTGTGTCTGTTCCACTATAAAGCCCTTGGAAAGTGGTGTGTCGGAGGACCCAAGAAGAAAAAAAGAGGATGCACAAATTATTTTCTTTTCCCAGTGGATGCCCATGTGTGATCTGCCTATTCTGTAGATTCAATAAGCCAACAGCTGAAGCTGTTTTCAGAGGTTGGTATTTGTTCTGCAGCAAAAGCTATGATGACTGGCAGAATCGCTGAAGCAAGGGAAGGCACAAGCAAGCGAGGCCATGTCTGTGCAAAAGGAACACAGCATCTAGTTTTCCATTCTTACAAGATAAATGCTCTGAACGGCACAACCACAATGCTCCCTCCTGCTGATATTACCAGCTTGCACAGAGAAAAATCAGACTCTTTCCTCCGACCCGTTGCTTCCCACATCAAAAGCAGAAAGACACTCTGCATAAAGATGGAGAGAATTGATTGTTCTGCTTTCAGAGTCAGGAGGTGGAGGCAGGAATTCTCATGTCCTCAAGATGGCTTCTCTTGCCAAAACCTCAAAATACAGTTTGGTGGTTCTCCAACTCTTTGGGAGGAAGGGAATTCCAGGGGTACCACCTTTTACACGGCTGGCATCTTCATTAAGGAGCACGCACATCTGGCATTTTGTAGGGAATTGGTTTATGAGCATTTCTACACAGCTTTGGGGATGTAGTAAGAATACATGTGCAACATGTGTTCAGTTTTTTAAAAAAAATTCTCCGCCTTTCATTTTTGTAACTGATATATTTTTTGGTAATGACAACATGCCCTTCAGATAGACAGATAGATAGATAGAGATTGTCGTAGTGTACCTTCAAGCCATTTCCAACTTAAGGCAACCATAAGGCAACCCTATCATGGAGTTTTCTGTGGCTGAGAATGTGTGCCTCACTCAAGGTCACCCAGTGGGTTTCCATGGCTCATTGAGGAATCAAGCCCCAATCTCCAGAGTCAATCAATCAATAGTTTTATGGCAGTCAGTGACCATATTAAAGATCTCCAGAGTCCAAATCCCGTACTCAAAACACTGCACCATGCTGGCTCTCATAGATATAGATACAGATACAGATATAGATGATATACATATAGATAGCTTTTATTCTTGTTGTGTGCCTTCAAGTTGTTTCCAACTATGGCGACCCTAAGGTAAACCTATCACAGGGTCTTCAGGGGTTGAGAGTGTGTGATCTGCTCAAGGTTACCCAGTGGGTTTCCATGGCCAAGCAAAGAATCAAATCCTGATCTCCAGAGTCCAGGTCCTATGTTCAAAACACTGCACTATGCCACACACATACACATATATATACACATACACATATGGTTGTTGCATGCCTTCAAGTCATTTCTGACCTATGGTGACCCTAAGGGTTTTCTGTGGTTGAGAATGTGTGACTCCCCCAAGGTCACCCAATGGGTTTCCATGACCAAGAAGGGAATCGATCCCTGGTCTCCAGAGTCATAGTTCAAGACTTATACACAAACAAACACAGAGACGTATCTACACTCCCAGTCCCAGCTCAACAGCCTCAGTATTACACTACCCTGCCTCTCACACCTCAGACCATAGACTCCACAAGCATTCGTCATCTTGTTCCAAATTGTTGCTCAGTATAGAAGGCTTCATGATTCTTCTCCTCGCTGCCCACAGAAGACAATAAGGAGGGATTTTTTTATTTTTATTTTTTAGCATTTCCTCACATCTAGTTCTGTCATCGCAACAGAGAAACCTTGGAGCAGAAACAACCATCTACCCAAGAATAAACCAGAGAACATGACTTTGAGAAACAGGGAATGCCAAAGAGATGTACAATAGTACAAATGCTCCCTTCCCAAAGAGTGGTTCCCCAGTTCTGTCATGTTTTCCCATTCTAACAAGTTGGAACACCTCCTCAAAGGTCTGGTTCTTGACCACCTAAAACAGTGGCTCCCAAACTTGGGTCCTCCAGATGTTTTGGACTTCGGCTCCCAGAATTCCTGACCATCGGCCAAAATGTCAGGGGCTTCTGGGAGTTAAAGTCCAAAACAATCACTGCTGGAGGTTTTGGTTTTACCTGTGATACCTGTTTGGATTCAGCCACCATTGGAATGCAGCCGCCATACTCACTCAAGAATTTCTCTGAAACTGAATTTGCTCCACCATTTTCTTAGAAAATAAAGGCAGAACAAAACTCCCACCCTCTTAGCTCAGTCCATGACTTATATTGCTCAATTCTTTGCAAAAAGGAGATATGCCCTCATCTTGTATGTCTTCAACCCCCAGCTGGCCTCTGTCTCTCTCTTTTCTTTGGCAAGAACGATGCAGTCAAATTTAAATGCCTCTCGCAGGAGTTG